ATTAATAATTAACAATTAACAATTCGCTGGGTTCGTAATAGCACCATATCATGAAATCTCATAACACATACTCGTGATTCGATTCTAACAACCCTCTACGAAATATTACGCATACATGTAATTATGTAATAACAGGATAAAAGATACCTTGGCTAATCTCGTAATTCAACCCTCGTATCCCCCACACACCAATATGACTCTTCGGTTATAAGCCTTTGGGAACACCTCCTGAGCCGCTCCCCCGACCGCATGTGCCAAGAGCCTTACAACGACACAAATGGATCCTATTTATATATCTGGACGCGCCATGTCGTGGTGATGAGGATACTCTATTTTTTGCCACGTGTCCACCGCTCGCCACATGTCGCTCTCTAACTAACACGTGTCCTCATGACTCAATTCATCACCGTGTCGTGGTGAGTATGCCACCACGTCATGGTGACTCGAGAGTTGACCGTTTGACTTTGACTTTCGTTTACTTTCTAGAAATAGCAACGTACTTTCATCTCAACTTCAAACGACCATAACTTTCTCATACGAACTCTGTTTTTGACGAACTTTATATCCACATAATCATCTCATAATGTTCTATCACTTTCTTCCTCTAATTCTTTCTTATTCTCACATATTAATACCTATTATGAAAATAGGTGTCACAAAAGTGTTCACCTTTTTCACTTCAACTTGATAATCAACAGGTAAACCTTTCACATAACGACTTACACGACTCTTTTCCTTTGGGAGTGTGTCTCCCAAAAACATGTCTGTGAACTTTTTGGTATACTCATCAACTGATAAATTTCCTTTTTGCAAACCAAAGAACTCGTCAACCAGCTTTTCCACATCACGGTTAACACAATATTATGCATTTATGCGTTTCACAAATTCATCTCAAGTCATTATTGCCTCTACATTATCCCCAAGTGTCTGGCACACTGTCTCTGACCAAGCAATGGATTGACTTTTAGTATTTGAGAAGCGTACAAAACCCTTTGACCATCTCTACAGCCGCTGGCCCTAAGAGTTCGAGTAATCTCAATGATGCATTTCATAGTAACTTTTGGATCGCGACTCCCTTCATATTCTTTTGGGTGGCATGCACGCCCAGCCTAGACAATGGGCAACACGTCCAGGGCCCATGTCTCTAGGGGCCCCAAAGATCCTAGAGTGTGTGTGTATATATTATATATATATATATATATATATATATATATATATATATATATATATAAATTAGTTGTTTTTGTAATGTTGTCATATTTGTGTTTTTTTAATATTATTAATGATCTTTGTGAATTTATAACAGTGTCTATTTTCGATTTAATTTTTATTATATTTATGACTTTGAGGTGCCAAATTTTTTTCGCCTTGAGCCCACTATATCTTTGGACCGGCCACCGCCCTACATTAGATGTCGTTGGGCTGCGACACATGTATAACACACTCTAGTTTTTGCCATTGTCTTTTTTTTCTCTTAGTTTAATTAAATTTATTTATTTATCATTAAACAGACTATGTACCACAAAACGGTGAATTGACGGGTTTTTTTTTAAGGTTGGCTAAAAAAACACCATATTTTAGCATATAAACACCCTGCTTAGTTATTCAATTGTTTTTATTAGTTGAAATTATATTGTTTTTGGAACAAAAAACTAGATATAAAATAATAGGCTAGAGTTTTGTACTAATCCATAGTTGCTTTTGGAAAATAATTACCAACTCATTGTAGTTTAAAATTAATTATCTAAACATAGTGTTTTTTTTTTGTTTTTTTTTTATTTATCTTTTTAGTGGTTTTTAATGTGTTTTTTTTAATCTTTTGATTTAAAATATTTTTATTTCATATAAAATAGTATTCTACTACTTTCTTATATATTTCCAGACCACGATAACTCATCAATTTTTGATAACAATTTTTATTTGAAATAGTTAATAAATAAATCATATTGCAATAAACAATAATTTTTTTTCTTTTGGTTTTGTTTTAAGAATTCATTGTTTACAAAAATAGTATTTAACGTATAAGTTTTATAAAGTTACAGATACAAATATAATAATAATAATAATAATAATAATAATAATAATAATAATAATAATAATAATAATAATAAATAAATAAATAAATAAATAAATAAGATTAACATAAACAGATAAATAATATGAAACTTGCACAAAAGTTTACATAATCATACATCCATCAACATAATCTGAATAAGTGCAACATAAATCACAAAAAACTTGAGCATTGTGAATATAAAAGGGTAAATTTATCATAAAACACCAAAAACTTTAACAAATCATACTCAAATGAACACTTTGTATCAGCGCACGCTTTTTTCTAAACCTAGAAGGACATGTCTTTCGATTTTGACCAGTCCACACATTCAACAACAAATTCAACAAAGATTAGTTTTTTCAATCCTTAAATGTCCATCGGACCATAATCTTGTGGAGTAAAGATGACTTCTTTCCTTTCATTTTAACTCTTAATTTCAAAACATTCATTGAATTTTATTCCGCATTAAACCTTAATAGTTATACTCGAGACTTCTGGTAAGTTATATGTTCTTCTTTGTCACAAATTTTCCATCTCGATAGCATAACAATGTAGTAAATTTCAATCCCATATCGATAAAAATATTTGAATAAACATGTAATCAATGTTGCAAAACTCCTTGGGCGTTCCTAGGCGGTCAACTAGCGCCTGGTGAGTATTCGGTCTAGGTGGAGAGTACTCGGATTAGATAAATTATATGAAAATAATTTTAGGAAAATTTTATATATAACAAATATAACAAGTTTATTAAAAATTATAACAAAATAGATGACTATCAATAATAATTATAGTTTTTTTTTTCTAAAAAAAAGTCGAAAATTTTGAAGTTTTCCGATTTTATCTGATTTTTACCGATTTTTTCAGATTCCGAATTGGAGCCGATTTTGACTGAATTTTAGCGATTTTTTTACTGATTTTGACCGAATTTGACCAATTCATAATTAGGCACCTCGGCCCCTACCCGATTCCGATTAAGCGGCCGATTAGGCTGATGTTTGCAACACTGCATGTAATATTATTTCAATTAATAAAACAAACATATTAATATACAAAATATATTGCGTTATATAAACCTATACCATGAAGTAAAAGATTAATACAAGACGCGTTAGCATGAGATCAATGTGTTCGTTGCCAAGAAAAAGTGACGCAAGTAGCAAACACAAATATGAATCAAATAAATAAATCCAAAGGCATGGAGCCTTGAAAATCCACAGTAGTATACTGAAAGTGATGCAGAAAAATACATTAGCATACAATCAAATATGGAATAAAAAAATCAACAGAAGCGATCATAAGGATAAAGGTTTTACCGGCACAGCACGGATACAAGCGGTTTCGGCAATGAGTGGGTAACGAGGAGGAACGACGTGTAGAGACGACTGAGAAGAAAACGGGTAGGATTTTTTTTATATAAATAAAAACCACAATTACTTCGTAATAAAATTTTAAATACCCTTATTTTTGTAATTACTTTTGTCAACTACAATGATTCCATAAAAAAATCGTTTATTTAGGAATAAATTACACGATTCGTCCCTCGTTCAAGTGTCAAATTGCACGTTTAGTCCCTATTTTCAAAAATTAACTCGGATCGTCCCTTGTATCGTTAAAAATTACACGCTTGGTCCCTTAAATCATTTACCAGACATAAAAAGTCTATTTCACCCTTATTCTTTTATATTTGATTTATTTTTAGATTGTTATTATTAATAATTATAATTTTAAAACAACATTAAATAAATGGGCCCCACCCTCATCCTCTTCTTCCTCTTTTCTTTCAAGAACCAACCGCATATTCTCACTTTCATGTTCCTCTTCACCATCTTCGGTGAGATCGCCGTCGGTGCTCCACCACCCTCAATGCATCGCCGGTACTTGGAACCCACTACACCCAGCACCATCTTCTTATTTCTCACCCACATCCGACAGCAACACAAAACCCTAGCTAGCCAACGCCGTCGTCGACCTTCCTCTCTGTCATCCTTCGCCCCTATCACCACACTGGATGTCGGCGACATCGCCTCTGGTCTCCTTCCCCTCTATCACCACTAAACGTCGCCTCAGATCTACATTATCACTAAAACATTGTCGCAGATCTGCAAGTAATCGTCACTTCCAAGCCTCCGTCGGTTAGGGTTTCGCCACAACCACCATCCACCACCTGTATGCCTTTATCTCCACCTGCAAAAAAAACTCATTGTCATTGGATCTAGTGGGTTACCACCGAATTTTTTGGGTTACCACCGGATATATTAGATGAAGAATATGAAGCCACCTTCAAAAACCACCACTTGGAGAGTAAATCTGTGAACAGGTGGCGATGGTGGCTTCATCTCCATCTCTCTTTCTCTATATCGCATTAGTTGAGAAGATTATTATGGTTTAAGGACATGTGGGAAGAAGAACGGGGGAAGAAGGGTCATCGACAATGTTTTTGACAGAAAAAGAGGTGGAGGTCGACGGTGGTGTGTGGTGGTCCGACGATGTTGCGTGGTGGTCCGACAGTAGAAGATAAATTGATGAAGGGTTAAAGGGTGTGGGTGGGGTTAGGGTAGATGATAAATGTTTGTGGTGGTGGGCCCATTTTTTGTTTTTCTTTACTTTTTGATTTTTGTTTTAAATTGTTAATAATAAACAAATCAAAATATATATATATATATATATAAAGAAACATAAAGGGTAAAATAATCATTTTATGTTGGTCAGGGACGGTCCGAGTGAGAAAAAAGCATTATATGGACGATCCGAGTTAATTTTTAAAAATAGGGACTAAACGTGCAATTTGACACTTCGACGATGGACGAATGGTGTAATTTACTCTTTATTTAGTATCACCCTTTTTGAATCATCTTCGTATTTAGCTTTCAATTAAAACAAAAAGTTACAAGAATACACGACACAAGACAATTATTGATTAAAAAGAAAGACCAAAAAAAAAAAACTTATCATTTTAAGCTATTGCCATCCTTTGTTTTCATAAAATGTAATACTAGCTTCTTTCTATATTTCTATAACAAATAATCCGGCTATAAAGTAGCCTCTAGATCTCAAATCCCTTCATCAAGTGTAAAATCCTTATCCGAAAATACAACATTCAAACTACAAAACATCTACACACCAGTTTTATTAAAAGGATCTTCAAGAAGAAAAGCATTAATCAGTAGTACATTTAGACCCAAACTTCTGAGCCTTCTCATCAATCCAAGCTTTCATATCCCCCAACACAAGAGCAACAGCATCATCTGGTTCCCCTTGAATCAACGAATGATACATTCCTTCATAAAGCTTCAACGTCTTATCCTCTTTAGCAGTCACAGCCTTCTCATACAACATCTCTGAACCAGTATGGCACGCCAACCCATCTGATGTCCCGTGTGCAACAAAAAATGGCACCTTCACCTTCTCAAAGTTGTTCTGCACATAATTTGTCACCCTCACAATCTCTCTCATTGTCCCCACCCTCGGTTTTCCGGCATATCGTTTTGGATTCACCGCTATTATCTTCAGTTTTTCAACATCTTTGATCGCCTTCGCCACCATACGAGAATCCGGCATCGCAGCCCACGTATCCGCTAGTCCGAAGAGTAGTCCGTACATCGTTAAATGTAACTTTAATTAAGAAATCATCATAGTTGTAATTGGATCAGTGAATCAAATTAAACAATCGATCTAGATCTGGGATCTGTGGAAAAAAATGGGATGATTTACAATTTGAAATTGAAACTGAAATTGAAATTTTACCTTGGAGGGAATCATGCCTTCGGGTATCACTAAAAGTGGGGAAGACAAGATCAAGCCGGACCATGTGTCCGGATCCGACTGGAAGTACATAAGAATGGTGATCAGTCCGCCCATCGATTCCCCTAAAAGGAAGGCTGGGAGATTACTGTACTGTTCGCTCCGGCGAACACTAACGAAGTATGATAGTGAAGTCGCGGCTGCTTTATCCATGTCTCCGATGTATCCATGGAGTCCGTCGGAGCGGCCGTGACCAAGGAGGTCGGCGGCGAAGACGGCGTATCCCCACTTGGCATATGCGATGCAGATCTTCTGGAAACACCAGCTGGAGTCGGATCCGTACCCGTGGGTCATAAACACGACGGCCTTAACTGGTTGGTCTTCGTCTAATGGAAGCCATGACTGAGTGAAGATTTTGCCGTTAGGGGTTTCGAAGTGGGATTTGGAGTTCCGGACGCCTTGGGATTTGTAGTATTCTTCCTCTGGTGTTTCACCCCAGAAGAACGGTGGTGGCGGGGGTAGCGGAGGAAGTTTTGGCGGTGGCATGGTTGGTGGATGTGGTCGGAGTGGACCGAGTGGTGGGAAGAGAGTAAAAGGGTTATAGAATAATCTTTCCGAGGATTTGACGGGATAATTAAGAAGGGCTCCTTTTGTGTTGCAATTAATATAACGATTATTTGATTATTGTTATTGCAAATAGCCGATACTAAAAATTTAACACAAATTATATAAATTTTAATTTTTAAGCTACTCTTTTATCCATATAAACTAGGTTTAAACTTTAAACCTATGGAAACCATGTTTGAGAAAAAAAAATATTTATAATTCAAAATTGTAATGGCTAATAAAATATTTGCAAAAAAAATATTAATTTACAAAATGTAAAAAAAGGCTAAAATAATAAAATATATGTAACAAATATAAAATGATGATTTTGATAAACTAAAAGAAAATGCATTTTTCTTACTTATTTTTTTTTTACTATTGGTATAGGGGTAAATGGAAAAAATTGCAAAAATCTCTTAATCAATTCCATAGTAAAACAAAAGCACAAACGCCCAAAATTTTGACAACAATTACCATAAGCGAGTCATGGAAATATATAAAGCATAATCCCAATATAAAGTTGCATTTATGTCGTAAGGAAATATATATATATATATATATATATATATATATATATATATATATATATATATATATATATATATATATATATATATATATATAAAGTTGTATTTATAAGTCACAAAAGGAAATACATGCAAATTCCCACATGCTTGAAAGATTGGGTGATAAAAAAATAAATACCATCTAACATAAGAAACGACGTTCCAATGGAATAAAACATTCTATTCCTTACCTGATTCCATCATACCAATCACTACCCACATGCCAGACTTTCAGAATAATAGCTTATAATAGCTTAATGCATCCAAATTAGGCAAGATAATTGGAAAAAATAAAACATGTTTCATATTCTTGAACTTTGAGGTCTACTTCCTCCACATCAGCAACTTGTTTCGATATTCCTTTTACTTTGCTTCCTAATTCATAACATTTGATATGGAAGAGTACAAGTTAGCACATAAAAAGAGCACACAAAAATTCCAAAATATGTTTCATAGAATTTCAGCTCTAGTAGTTTTTTCTACTATTAGCTGAAGCTCCTTCTTGTTATAATACAAGAAACAGAAAGTATATTCATATATTTGTTTATTATAGCATCATATTTTTATTTTTTCCTTTTATAACATTGTAAATGAAAATACATTGCTATTTTCTTGCATGCATAACTCATTTTACCCAAAAATGTTTTACATGATTCCATAATATTTTAATCATCCATAACGAAATTTACCATATTTCTGATGCATTAATTGGAAAAGAATGCATGTCTCTGTCTCTGGTTTGAGTTGGTTTTACAAATTTTTGAACTATCCATGTAAACCACTGACCAACTAATCCTAAAATCTAATAAAACGTTTCTCCAAACTTTGCCTTGTTTATTATAAATAAGGTACATGTTAGCCAACACTTTAGCAACACAAGTATCAGATTGTAATTTTACCTTCACATACAAAAGCATGTATGGATGAAAAACTAAAAAAAATTACAAAGACATGATTCATATGAAAACTGAGAACTTGATCCTTTTAGTTTCTGTAACATCTGGAACCCTAAGGTACTAAATTCATTATTTTATTTGCATTATGAGGGTTCTCACGACGTGAGATCTTGGGGATCATGTCGTGATGGACCATTGACCTGCTGACCCGCGTTTCTGGAAACTCACAACGTGAGGCATAAGGTCTCACGACGTGAGCGCGACTTAATGACCTAAAACCCTAATATTCGGGTATTTAAGTGAATGAGAGGCTAAGGTTATCCATCCTTAACCTATCTCACCCTCTAAGCCTTTGGAAAACCCTAATCTCGACCCTTTTGAAGCTTTTAAGCATTTTTGGAGATCCTTGAAGCATTCTTTGGTGGTTTTGGTTACTTGAAGTGGAAGAAGACCTTGGTTGAGCAACCTCTTGGCATTTTGGCTTTCACCTTGCAATCTCTTGGATCTTTTGGACCATTGTAAATCATCAAGCTTCGACCTTTCAACCTATTTCATTCTAGATCTAAGTTATAAGCTCCTTTTTGCATGTTTGAGTGGGATTGCTTGCATGGGGTCCATAAAGTTGGCAGCTTTATGGATCATTGACTCATTCTCTTCAACATAGTCATTGGACATGCATGAATGAAAAGTCTCGATTTTTATCATCATTTGGGTAAAGGAAGACCCCATGGAAAGTCCCAAGTCATGGCTGTAAGGATTAAGAGCTTAATGTCTTAAGTTGGCCTGTTCAGATATCACGACGTGAGGCTTAAGACTGTCGTGTCGTGAGAAAGTTGGCCATCCCGTCTATTTTGTCCGGATTAGGTCACGACGTGATTCAAGGGTGGGTCGGGACGTGACGGGGACTAGAATCTTTTTGGATAAGTTGAGCTGACTCGCTGAGCCGGGGCTGAGTCAAGTTGGTCCTCACGACGTGACCATTGTCTGGTCACGACGTGAGAACCCGCTGTTGGAGTTTGCACCGTAGATTTTAGGCCTTTGGTTAATTGGATTGGGCCTTGGCTTTGGGCCAAGTTAGGGAAATGGTAAAAAGGTCTTTTACCCTAATTTGGACTCTTAGTGTGAGTCGGGATCCAATTATTAATTGGATGTTATTTTATGATTGATAGCACAGGGATTTTAGCGGGCCAGCAGTCAGAGATTTTTCCTGTGAGACTCAGCAGTGCGATGTGAGTTTCCTCATCATGTTTAGCAGGTCGAACGCACCAATGTCGGCCCATGATTTTGTTATGTTAGGATGCTAGATATCTGCGTGACTCTTGCATGTGTTATGTACTCATATGCTTACCGGGTGGGGGCCTGATAGCCATTTTGTATGCTATGTATCTTCGTGATTCTTGCATGTGTTATGTGTTTACATGTTATTATGTTTATATGTATGCTAGGTGGGGCCCAGTGACTGACAGATCTATATACCGAGCGGAGCTCGATGTCGGGCGGGGCCCATTATATGTTTATTTATGTATGCATGATATGTGGTATTTGGGGAACTCAATAAGCTTTGTGCTTACGGTTTTCAGTTTATGTTTCAGGTACTTCTGGTTCCAAAGGGAAGAGCTCGAGATGATTGCAGAGCACACACCACTCGATTCCGCATTTTGTGATTTACTCTGATATTGATGATGTATCGATATATTTTGATAATTTTGGTTTTATGAGAATGATATGGTTTGATGTTTTATTAATCTAAAAATGAAAAAAAAAATTATGGTTTTATTTTTGGGACGTTTCAGTTTCTTTGCTTCTTCCTACAACTTGGTTATGTTTTAAATTCCTACCTTCCATAGACCTTGAATCTATAACAAAAATGTTTTCTTTTTAGTTTTATGAATCTAACCAAACTCACAAATTGGTAAGAAAAAATGAGCAAGCCTTAAGTTTTATCTCTAACCTAGTAACATGCAAAGGAAAATTGGAAAAAATTAAAGTAACATTCAAAAAAATGTATATGGAATTAAACATTCAAAGTAGGTTTTAATGATCACACCTTAACTCGTGTAAGAGCATCTTACTAGAAAAAAAAGTAAAAGAATAAATATCAACTTGCTTTTATTGATTTAATATAAAAAGTAAAAGAAATGTTCATTTCTATAAACAAAAGGGAAGAAGAAACAATAGTATTAGTGTAACACTCAATTTTGGTAAGTTTCACATTTAACCTCTTTATTTTAAAAACCTTGCATTTTGGTCTTTGAGCTAGTACGCGGGGCATACTAGCCCGAGGTTTTAATCGTGGACTCCACCCACGTACGTTGGGCGTATGTGGAGTACGCTGGGGGTATGCAGGCCCGAGACAAACCCCAATATTTAGGTTTGTGCCTTATTTAAGGATCATAAACTCACCTCCTGACCATTTTAGACCAGCCTGATGGGTTATGAGCATAACATCATTCCTATGGTGTTCATGCAACCCTAATTGCTTTGATCTAGGTTTTTCTAAGTAAACATACAACATTGAACACCAAAGCAATGAACCCTAATTGACTAGCATACAAATCTGAAATTGACATATGATTAGGGTTAGAATCATTACCTTGATTGTTATGTAGCAATAACAATCACAAACCTTCTTAATCTTGACTTCTGAAAGCTTAGTGCCTCAAGTGTTGCACCTCTAATGGAGTCACAAACACCACTAGCAACAAGACGACTTAGGAGAGGGAGGAGGAGGAACCGAAAACGTCTAGGGTTTCTCTTAGAAGGTTAGCCACGTTTTTTGGAGCCTTAGGGGTCTTTATATACTTGTGAGGGCTGCTAGGGTTTCAGGTGAAACCCTAATTCTATGCTTAGGCCTTAAGCAACCCATGGAGTCCCTCTAGAAAGCCCTTGGACGAAAATCATATGGGCTTCCCATAGATTTCGTCCAATGCCCTTTCCATTAGGAATCCATAGCCCAATTTGCAACTATCATATAATTGCAATATCAGTCCCCTTTATTTAATTAATCTCTCTTAGCTACAAAATTAATTCTTAATTAATTCTTGACTAATATTAATTAAACAATATGATTTCTCTTTTAATATATTATTCACATAATATATTAATAAATCATAATTAATCCTCTTTCTCCTTAGTTCATCCTATCAATTGCTATGGTGAAGGCAACCCAAAAGGACCATGCTCATAATCGGGTCAAGTACATACCAAAATAGTTATGGGCTTAGACACCTAATCCAACAGTCTCCCACTTGGATAAGTCTAATAACTATTTTGCATATGACTTCAGAACCTGATCAGCAATCGTAGCTTTCAAAAGCCGCTGTCAACTCTGATCTTATCAGTAACGCGTCCTTTAGATTAGGGATCATATATTCCTCCATTCTAGATATCGTATGAAATAAGACATGGATTTAATCATACTCTCTGTTCATGTGTTGTTTCCCGATTTCCGATTTATGACGACTGACAACAGACTACAATTGAACACATCAACTTAGTCCAGGCTTGGCCAAGCGCTTAGGGTGTCATCATTAAATCATCGAGGGGCCCACAAATATCGCTTTTATCCCACTTTGGGTAAAA